GAAAAAATTTGAGGACCATCGTGCAGATTTTTGAAGACAATTACTCATACTGATTACCTTCTAAGTGGAGCAATGAACGTCGCATGGTGCCGCACACTTGCCGTTTAGAGGCAATTTTACAACTCTTAGTGATCTCCGCTGTAGAAATCCACAGCGAGGATACGCGATGATTCTATGAGTGGGCTCGATCTTAAATTGTTATCATTTGCTTGGTCCATCTGCATAGCGACAAATCAGTACAAAAACGTTACGTGCACTCTTCACTTCTGGATATGCCCTGAGAGATTGGTGAATGAGAGAATTAGTACATCTTTCTTCGAATCTAGGAATCTAAACAGTGCTAGTTAGAACTATGGATATAGATTTGTGCTAGGATGATCACTTCTTGGCATACAGGCTTTCCCTCTCATTCATCGAGTAACAATGAGATTACTTTTTTTTACTGATACATCTCAAAAGCTTCCGTTCACTAGAACCATGCAAAGTGCATTACACCTTACTTTATATCTACTATTCATGTCTAGAGAGCGACCACGACTTGCATGAGACTTGGTGGTGGGCTCAAATACACTCTCTGTCGAAAATTTGAAAGGAAATATCGCAATCTCTAGTGCAAAATGATTTTCCTATTGCAATCAGCAGATGAGTAGTAGTTCGACATGCAGATACACTACTATCGTTTCGCAAAGGACAAAATATTATGGAAGATGTTGGAATCATGGAAGAAGTCATGAAAAGATTAACTGATGAGCAGAAAAACTTTTGGACAGCATTCTAAGAAAACTTACACAACTATCAGATTATTTTTTTCATAACAAATACCTAAAAAAATATGACTCATAATAGTAAGAGTCGTATTCTTGGAGAATATTAGCTAGACAATAATAGTAGTATTATAATAGTAATAATAATAATGATAATAATAATAATAATAAATAATAATAATAATAACGTTATAGTTAATAATACTATTATCAATGACAATAGTATTTACTAAAATGGGAGGAATACTCACACTTTCAACTTTCAGTGATTTTTTGTTCACATTTTACACTTTCAGAATAGATTCCACTCCTCTTAAAAAAATGACCTCTTGCTCTGTGTGAATATTGCAATAAAGTACCGCTCTAGAAAGTGTGGTGACTAGATCTCCACAGGAGCTCGAGAGCAGACTCTCAACTTTCGAGGCCAGTTCCTGGAAGTAAAGTAGAGGACAGATCTTGACATCAAACAAAACAACAAAACCATCTCGACAAATAAACCATTGGCTTCGTTGATGACATGGTCTTCATATCACCAAGCTATAGCAAAACGGAACGAACGAACCTATTTCAAAAACGGCTTTGGAAAGATTGGCGTTCAACTAATTTGAAAAAAAAGGATGTTTATGAGGAACGGATAGAATTTGAATGGCCCATTAACGCTCAACGAAAGGCGCATCAACCGAATGCTCCAGTTACGTCTATCTAGCTTGTGAAATCAGCATCATGAGCTACGTAGCTCCAAAGTTGAGCAGGACGAAACGAGCGGTTTGGGGAACGCTTAAGAGCATCGAGGATGTTGTGAGTATAAAAAACACCTCACTCCGCGCCCACCCTTTCGATTCGACTATCATCCCTGCCCCAACGTATGCAGCAGAAACCTGGTCGCTACGTAAGCAGGATGAAAGATCACTTGGCGTCACTGAACGAGAAGTCGACAGGCCGATGCTAGGAGTATCCCGTGACTTGCAAATGAAGGAAACGATCCGAAGTCACGACCTATGTCAGCGATACAAGATTGAAGACGCCGCTGCACCCTCTAGAATGGCGAAAATAAGGTATGCCGGACGAGTGATGCGCTTTAAGGACAGCCCATGATGAGAGCCGTCATCGACTGGATTCATCGGGATCAAGCACTCTACAGGAAGACCACCGATCCGATGATCCGATTTCTTCACAAAAAACACTAGAAGAAAGATATGATTCTCAACGAATCCTTAGAGCGAGGAGGACTCACTGGGCTTCACTTGCACGCGACAGGAAAAAATGGAAGAGTTGCTGGTGCTCGCTCGAATCACTCGGTGATCAACGGGACCATTGGTGACAGGCGATGTAAAAGGGTACTTTGAGAAACCAATTACGTAGGGCTTGGTGATCAACGGGACCATTGGTGACAGGCGATGTAAAAGGGTACTTTGAGAGACCAATTACGAGAGAATCAATTTTTCAAGTGATTACCAATACTCCTATGAAAAGTTTCTGTCCAGCGAGTAAGATCGCTTTGGCATTTGTTCCCTCCCAATCAGAAGGAACCGAATTTTCTATTCTGCATTTGAACAAATATAAAGAATTTTTCAACGAATGCATTGCATCTCCGTGGTTTAAGATTCTACAACAAGCTCATAAACTATGGCCAGGTAAGACTGTGCACGTACAGTCAAAAGATAAGTAAAACACTATAATAATATGCACAAACAAGGAATAGACTAGGAAAAGTGGATTCTGTGACAAAGTCTATTCGGTATGGTGACATTTTAGCACACAGCAAATGCGAATAATCACAGTAGAGGTGAGATTCGATCCCTACCGTCTACGGCGTTAGAAAATACCCAAATCGAGCGGTCCATTCGGTGAGCTAATCTTCCTAGTGTAGTCTTTCAAACAATACCAGTGAAGTAGTATTTGCAAATTTTGTAAAAATAAACTCACTTGTGCAAACTGCTTAGCAAACCCCTTTCTCTTCACCACTTCGTTTCCCTCAATTCACTGCACTTTTGTCCTATTCCTGAAGCTTTCCCTCTTCTTTTTAGTCTCAGTGCGATCGGGATGTGACGACGCCGACTTGAAGGCTTTCATGCGTACTTTGCAGCGCTTCGCTCTAAACAAGCTTCGTTTGCAAGCACTTCCGTGGATGTGTCATCCCATAGCGAGCGACACCAAATCTCCTCGACTACGGCAGTGGGGGCGCCGGATTTTGCGAGAAAGGTGAGGCATCTCGTGAGAGGACAGTCGCCAGACAGCATGATGGGTGCGAGGAGACAAACCCAGGCTTTGAGGAGTATTTGGATCGCGAAATGATGGAAATTCATTCAAAAAGCTTCCACAGAGATAATTTTAGTAAAAAGAACGTCTATGTCCTCCATATTCCGTCTGTATTTCTTATGTTTTTACGATGAAACTACATCGGCAAATGATAACTATAATGACTATGATTATCATAGTGACAGAGAAATGCTAATGATGATGATGGGCAGTATTAATGATAAGATAATGTTGGTGATAGTGATATAACATGTTTTGAGCCGTCAGATCCAGTGCTATACAGGCGCGTGTATCGTCCTATTAGGACTCATCAGTAGCACCCTCCCTCGGTTCAACCCGATCTCTTGAGGCTAAATAATGGCTCAAAACATGTCATATCTCTATCAGATTATATTGTTTCGAGCGGGTTAATAAAAAAGAGCTTGATATGAGAGGTACAATTCATTGTAAAAGTTACCGGCTCGACTGCCAGTCACCACATGCCAGGTAGCTTCATCACGTGACTTGGGGTGACTTATTACTTGGCGTCGATTCCTTTATGGAGGATTATTTAGCCTCAGGGGATTGGATAAACGAGGGGGTGCTACTGATTAGTCCCACGAGGACGAAAAAGGCTCCTGTTTAGCATTAGACTTGACGGCTCAAAACATGTTGAATTCTTATCAGGTTATATCGATTTGAGCGGGGTCCATAAAAAGCGGCCGATATGAGGGATAATGATAATGAGAATGTTAATGATGATATAGTGATAGTGATGATGGTAGTAATGGTGATAATGATAATGGCAGCAATAATGTTAATGATATTGATGATAGTGTTAGTGCGATGACTATAACTATGATAGTGATATTGTTATTGGTAGTGATAGTGGCAGTACTAATGTTGGTGAGGATGATGAAAGTGATAATGATAGATGAAGTGACAAAGATTGTAGCAATGAATGACATTCAAAGATCAGATCGATCAAGAAATTCTATTATATTGCAATATGCAAAATCGTTTTTGACAAACTTTGTTCTGTAATTGTCTTCACTCTCAATTTTCTCACGGTTTTCAAGTAGCTGTCGTACAGTGGCATGAGAATGAAGGCACCCGTGGCAACGGATACGCAGAAAGCATAACACCCCCGCACAGAGACGCAGATTCCTTGCCCGCGAGTGTCACGCAAGCGACGGCGCGGCGCCGTCTGTCTATCAACGGTAGTTGTCATAGGGTTAGATAAAAAATTCAACCAATGTAAACTTACATGCAGCGAACACTTTCCAGCAGCCTACATTGTTAAATGAGGCACACCGATAATCTACGCTGTCCGAAGGATGAGTGATAATAGTTTTATCATGTGTTATCAGTCAAAATTACTCGATGACAAGTTTAACTAGTCGATCGGCAGTTCTAAACGAAGCTATAACTTTGAAGCAGCGGATGAAAATATGGAGCACCTTTGATTTTTTAGACAACCTTTGTTAACGCAGTGGAGATAGAGATAATTTCCAATTACTGTCTTGTAGTATCAATCAAGTGGGGCGCCGCGGCAGAGTGGTTGTGATACTTTTCGCGGATAGCGTGGAGCCGATCTCCATTCCCAGTTTTCTCCGGCATGCAACAGCGATGCCTTGTGGAACCTCGCAGCAAGGCTATCCTCGACATTGCAACGAGACAGGTTCGAGCAGTATTCTACGCCGTTCAAAAAGAATACAAAAAAAAAGAGTTGAATGCTTGAATTACTAAAATCCTCACAGTGAAAAAAGAGTATTGCGATAGCGGTTTAAATAAGGTCATAAAATTACCTATCAAAACTTGGAAGTTGAAATGTTTCTGCATATTTATAGAAGTTTATCATAGAACCTGGCTTACGGACTTCACAATTTTGTAATCTTTCCTTCTAGAATCACAAGTTCACACGAAGTGGCAGTTACGACGACACATCTCCTGCGAGCTATATTATACCCAAAGATGTGGAGCAATGTGCAAAGCCTGTGTCTCAGGCGGGACTCGAACCCGCAACTCACTTTGTACGAGGCTAGTGCGCTAACTCGCTGCACCACTGACGCTCGCTTCAGCACCACTCTTCGTATGCTTAAAAGCATCCATCTGACAGCAACAGACCGTTATTGCAGATACTGACTACCGAGGAAAAACCGCTGGCTGTTGATTGCTGACAGACAGATGCGTTTGAGAATTGAAAGAGATATGACAAAAATGGCAAAAAAGCGGGGCCAGTCGAGCAACGGGTTAGAGCACGCGCTACAGGGTAGAGTGAGATACGGGTTCGAGTTTCACCTGACGCAAGAGCTTGCACATCACTTTATCACTGAGTATAATTGTAACATCAAACCACCACTAAAAGTGGTCAAATAAAGAGAACTCGATCTAGTTATATCATATAACTGCAAAAGTTAATGCGGTTTATGAGTCTAAAGCCGCGAAAACCTTTACTTTTAACGACTGGCGAACGGCCGTGGAATACTCGACGCAAGTTTTTAGCAATATCTCGGGTACCTCAAAAACCTCAGCTTTGAAAGATTCTTGTACTACGCTTCTCATCTTCAAGGTTCCCGTCTCCTCTACAAAACTTCTTGAGCCCCCACCACTGCACTTTACGTGTGTTAGCAGCCCTTAAGCCAAATGCCATTGCTGCTACGAGTTGTGTTTACTGTTTCATGACCTATTTCGACCTAGAATAAGAAAATATTCAAACTTACTTTCCCTCTAACATCTTTTCCTCACGTACCAAGTATAAATGAAATAACGCGCAATGACTCTATCGGGACCAGGTGCATCGCCGATCCTACACGCGCATTTTTTGGTTCAGTCGTTGAGCACAGATTTTCCTGCAGACTTTTAGTAGTCATTCGATAGCTGAAGGAATCGCGGATTCAAGGCTATGTATGACTTTTATATGCCTCTCCATTAAAGTGCACCGAGAAACAGAAGATTACGCTTTTTCTCCGAAGTGAATGATGTATTTTCCACTCGCGTTTCGTTGGCTTTCTCACCAGGGAAAGCTTTTCCATTAATGATTTAGTAGTCGTTTGGCAGCTTCAGAAACATCAAATGTGAATATCATCTTGTTTTTAATTAGAGATTTTATTGCTTTTAATAATGATAAAGAGATATAACGTTTCGAGTTTTCCCTTCGGGATCATGCCAGACAAAGTGTTTTCACTAATGTTTGATAATCTTTCGATAGCTTGAAAAAGGGTCATTGTAACATAAGACTTATTCTTTATAAAGGTTTCTTTAGTGAGCTGTGGCAACGAAGAAAGAGAATTACACTCATCCTTAATTTTTAATATTCGCAAGGCTGGCTTCTGTGCTTGACTTCCATACACATTTAATGGTAGCTGTATAACTATACAATACACAAATTTCAAATTCCACTTCGAATTTAGAAAGTCCTTCAGAAAACGTTGTAAGAGCTAACAAACACGTTCTGCACTCAGAGTATTAGTCATCGGTTTGAAAATTAATACGTGTTTATTGCAATGTAAAATCAAAACAAAAAGCCAGCATCTATGAAATAACAGATTAAAGTTGTTACGATCGCTTCAAACTTCGAAACTGTACCTAACGTAGAGAAATCTTCTAAATAATTAACGACAATGGCGCCCTTGCGAGGTGGTTCTACGCAACCCCATTAAAAGGAGCCCAACTTTGTTATTCAACTGAAAGTTTTTCTTCTGTCGCAGAAAAACAGTCAGATTTATCTTCATATTCTGGTACAACACGATAGACTCTACATGTTCACACGCTCTTGATGCATAAATATCTCTCATGTGCGAACAAAACTCTGACGGTGAAACGTAGTTTTCTTTTGCTTTTACAGCACTTTAAGAGAAATTTTCGTAACCAAAAATCAGTTATAGAATTACCACGATTCAAGCTTTCAAATTGCTATTGAACTTTAAATGGAAATTTTTCCAAAGACCCTAGCTGAGCGAGCAAAAAACCGAGTTTTGTACATAATTTTGTTTTTTTTTGCAGCACACTGAGAATTTTTTCAAGAGTCGTTTGAAATATAGCAATTATCGAACTTCAAGCCATTGAATGACTACTAAAAGTTTGGGGTAAAAGCTTTCTTCTCCGACAAAAGCTTATTCTTGGAAGGGCTTTTCACTTTTCGATGTCGACGACCTGGCATCGTATTCGCTTTACAAAATCATCTTTGACGAACTATCCAATGTTGTCCGATTTTCAGTCACTTTGATAACTTTGAAGTGTTAAGCATAATAAAGAGTATCGGAACCAATGGATTTTCACCAACATATTTTGAAAACTTGATTACAATTGACAGGATGCCAACAAAAGTAAAATTGCGTAGTTACCGCGAGCTTCTTAACCACACATAAGAGTTGGATTTGCATTAAAAGCATATAGATGTGGAGAGAGGATTGAAACGTTAAAAAACTTATGAGTATTCCCATGTGGAATGCAGAAAAACCATGATTAATTGACAGAAATTCCGCGTCGGTTACTAACTGGACTGTGCTCGGCAACTTCTACTGTCACCTCAAAAGGGTTATTTGTCTACCCTTTCTCAGATTAACTGATGGGAGAAAATGACAATAGTGGCCAAATGCAATCTAGTGTATTTCTGCAAAGTACTTGCAGGTGGAATTTGGTTAACTAGGTAGGTATTACCTATTCACCAACAGCAATGTGATTGAAGGGAATTATAGAGAAAGTGCGATTTCCTTTTTTCCCTGCAACAAATGAAACCTACTGAACGGCTCACGAATATGAAATGAAAGTTATACTGTGATAAGCAGGCTGTAAGGGTGAATTTTGCCATCGTCTCAGTCATTGTTTCGCCGTGATATTGCAGTGTTTTGTCTTACTTAAGAACGCATGTGGCACAGCGATTCAAGGTGGTCTGCGTCGCACACAAAGCCGAGAATTTGATCTCGCGCTCATGGCCCACCAAATTCCCCATCTTTTTGGGAACGGTGAACTTGCACTAGACTTCTCTGGGAGAATAAACACCGATGTGATATAACGGGAAAGCCACCACAAGTCATTGTGAAGATCAGAAATGCGTGCAATTGCCTTGACCGCACCTAAGAATTCAAATAAATGCATGGCACATCCTTCAGGTATTGACCAACCCCAGGAACTTTATCCTTCATCCTTATATCTTATCCAATTTGAAAACGGTACATTTTTTGATATTGATCAACACAGATGTCTTTCTGACGATTTAAGATGTTGTATAGCGTGAGAACTTTCACGCAAGTCGTAAGCTGTGTTGCGTTTTTAAAATGTTCAATGCCACAAGACACAATTTCATAAAACTTTTTCGTTCAACTTTTTGCTTCAATTTTATAAGCAGTCCGTGTTGAGTTCGCATTCATTCAAAAGAAGCTTCTCATCTTTCAAAGGATGCCATTTTTTCGGCTGATGAGTACAGGTAGTCATTGCTCAACGATTTACCTAAATTTTCTATTACTACAGCGCTAAGTAGGGGATGCTCAAAATTAGGATTGTAACAATTCAGAAAATTGTGTTTCACTTAGTTAAGGACATAAAAACTTTCGCTAACTTTATTTTTCGCTATTCTGATAGCTGTAACTTTTGTGGCACACCACTTTTGCCATTGCTCTACATCACCCATTCATACAAAATCTAGTAGCTTCATTATTCGTCTATCGTCGACGATATGACACTGATGATTTGTTTCGTATCTAGATTGTTTGATTGCTCGAATACAATTCCTGAAGGATCCATGTGACGGATATTATTCAGAAGGTAATAAAGATAGAAAAAGAACTGCATTGGTGTGCAAGTGAGCTGCACGAAAGTCAGAGGTATGTAACACATGTTTCAACTCTAAATAATCGGAATAAACGGGTCACTGATATGAAATTAGCTTCAGTGAGAGTTACTGATTAACTGGTATATCATACAGCTTGCATCATCATTTTTTCAAATTCTGTTCCCCAATATTTATTCACTATGACAACTTTTGGGTCTTGTATAAAATTAGCGACTATCAAAATAGACGATGTTTATTGTGACACTTTTTGTACACCTCTATACAAATGATTTATTGCCAAATTCAGTTTGACTGCGTAGTAAAGTAGCATTTTTCTCTATATAGTATTGGTGTGCATGTATAACCCATTTGTCATCTTCTGGTGTTGGCTCAATAAATGCCTTTGAAATGAGTTGCATCACCTCTCTGCATCTCTTAAAGAACTGTGCAAGAAGTATTTATAATAGGACAACTTCGTCTTCAGCATCTCAAACACACTTACCGAGGTGGTCTTTTTTTGCCTCTAAGTCGATTAATGCCATCAATCCTTACCATGTTTCCCTCGAACTAAGAGATATTTGTGAGCTTTCCTCTGAAATCACGAGTTATCCAAGTAGGACTATATAAGAGAGTAGTAGAAGAGCTGGACCAGAAGTGCGGCGTAGAATTGGTCATAGATCCGTCTAACTAAAAGAGTTTGGTGAGATCTTAAGCTAAGAAGTATAATGATCATCAGTCAGTCCATCCATATGTTCGCTATCTGTACTGCTGATCTCTCTGTTAGAATGATAACTTGGTGTCAACTGACCATCGAGAGTTGTAAGCAGTTTCGAGAGGTGTATTGTCAGTTCCTCACGGAGTTATCCTTCAGTGAATAGAGAACTCCCAAGCTCTCCAAATACGGTGAGAATCGTCAACATTTCTTCTTGCAGTTGTATGATGTTTGGATCCAGCATTCGTTTTCTGTCGCCCTCAACTCATCGTCGACCGTATCTGCGTTTAGTTCAAAAAGGACCATTTGCGTTCGTCATCTATTAAAAGTTCACATTGGTGGAGTAAAAATCCAGAATATCAGTGAACTGACATCATGAATACTTTTCGCTCGCCAGATTTACCACTTCCATTGTTTGACTTTTGACTATAATTAGAATACCTTCACATCTAAAAGACCTCTTTTGCAATCTGGCGCAAAGCGGATAGAGCGAATTTTGTTCTTTGATTGAGGTTTTCTTCTCCGTTTGCAAAAATTTTGGAACTCGTGTTTTACTATTATAGAGGAAAATTTTCTCTACTTTCTCA